CTTTGCATTTAGAGTGACCTACGATGACGGCGGAAAGAAAACTGTGGATAAAAGTGCAACATTAAAAATAATTACAATTCATATTTTTTTTCCTTTTCATTAATTTCATTTTTTTTTTATCATTAACTTCTATAATTTTTATTAATTTTTTTTATTTTTCGGTGTAACAATAAACATATACCGAACCGAACCGAAAACCGTGACCACGAAACCGTAAACCGAACCGAACCGTGGATTTTGTGAACCGTTCCACCCCTAAGGTGTTATACACTATTATCTCATAATTAATGGATGTGAAGTAGACCTTTTTAATGTAGTCTAGTAAAATTAATGAACAATTAAATAAGAAACGCGGGGCAACATGAATGGAGCGAGGTGTTACGTTCACAGCTGGGAAACGGTGCGATAATTTAACAGCCAGTTAAATAAGACAATACTCATGTATCGGTCGCATAATCAAACGCCGTGTGTCCCAGGGCCCTGGCATCATTACATGAAGAAAAAATGTCAGAAATGCCGTAGGAGCAGGAAAATTAGGGTGAGTGCGGAGCGTCCTGGCATAACTTTCAGCGGTAGAGCGAATGTTCGGAAACTGCGTGGCGCTCCGCTCACATTCGCCGTTTCTTACCTTAGGAACAGCAGGAGCTACATGTGCAGCAGGTTCTGTGTCCTCCAGTTTTTTCTTCTTTCTGTCCTTCTCTGTGGATGAGGATAGAAGAGGGATAACAGTCGAGCTTTTAAATGAACCTGTGAACAGAAACTCATGGAAATGAGCAAAGAGTAGTTATTTATGGAGGGCGTCTCACTCTTTTTCTTTGCAGGTGGAGGTTCTGTCACATCAGCAGGAGGTGAGATCTCTTCTTTCTTTATTTTCTTCTTTTTCTCTGAAACTGTAGTTTCTTCTTCAACAGGAGCATCCTGGATGCTTATTACTGATCCTTTTTTCTTCTTCCTGGGAGGCTGGTTTTCCTTTGATGAACTCTCTTCTTGCTCTTTGTTTATTCCCATCCTCGGTTGAGATAACTTGTCAGTTTCTTCCTGTTTCTGTCTGGAAAAAAGGTAAAGCAAAATTATTTTCCTCCCAACTTTGAAAACTCATTAATGCTATTCTTTCTTCTTCCGTATTCTTAGAGTCTAAGAAAAGAAACAAACTTTTTTCTTCCCATCCAGAGGCCGGTACTCTGTGCCTTCATCATCATCCCCCTCTGCTCATGTTTTAACCTCCTCTTCTGGCTAAGCATCTTTCGGAGACGTTTCTTCTTCTTTGCAGAGATCAGCAGAGGCAAGTTGCTGCCTGAAAAAGATGTTTAAAGAGCTGCACAAATTAAATGCATCTGCCCCAAGAAATAAGTCTCTTTAAAAACATGTTTGTTTGTTTTTTCCTCACCAGCCATAGCTTTTGTCTCAATCTCGCCCTCTGCTGGTTCTTCTTCAAACTGCAGCTCCTCCCTTTTTCTCTTCTTTCTTTTCTGTGTTTTCTCTGCCAAATTCACAGAATTCTCCTGATCTATTCCTCTCTCCTCAGTCTGATCCTCCATCATATCTTCAAGCTTCTTCTTCTTCTTCTTTTTCTGTTTGTTTTCTGATGAGAAGCCACTATCTGCTGCCTCCTCCATATATTCTGTCTTCTTTTCTTTCTTCCTTGGTGTAGCTACTGGAGACTCTTCTGACACCCCTTTCTTCTCATCCTCTTCTCCATTTAAATTCCTCTCCCTCTTCTTGTTCTTCCTTTTCTTCTTTTTTGACCTGCTTGTCAGAGGAGTATCATCGAGTGGGTCTATAACGATTACATCAGCACTCGCTGCATCTTCAATGTCAACCAGCGGAGTCTCGGCAGAACTCTTTTTGGACTTCTTTTTTTTCTTCCTGGGAGCGATGGAGTCTCCAAAGAGCTCTGCAGCCTCCTGCTTGGCTGCTTCCTGGTCATCAGTCAGGATAATGTGGCCATCTTCTGCATCTTTGTGCAAATAAAAAAACAAAAACAGTCACACACTGAGCTTGTGTTATGAATGATGTGTCAGTGTATTATCAGTTATGTGAAGCAGTAACAATAAACGCATGCTGATGTTTCAGATACTAAAGATCAAGCAAGAAAACTAAACAAGAACTTTCTTGTACCATTGGTGAATTTATGACAGTGCAGCCCAATAACTGAACTAGCTTTTTTAATCTTTTATATCCTAAACAATTGTTTTTTTTATCCTTGTTACCGCATTAATGCTTCACTGGTAGAAGTGAGGGGCTAATCATCTAAAACTGAAAAACAGTTAAACTAAAAAAATAAAAAAAAAGCTTGGATAATCTACAGAAATCAAAGATGACAAGAAAGTCTGGCTACTTGGTAATTTTACCATTAAATATATGAACACTCTGCCAGTTAAGCTCAGGTTATAAATAAAGAATATTAAAAATATAACTCATTTTACTGTGTTTAAATTATCTGAATGAGATTAAATATAAAAGGATCTTTACCTATAAAAAAGTCTTTTGTCTTTAAAGTATAACCAAACTGGATTCAATGGAAGCTTAAAGTGAGTTTGAAATGCTTTTCCATTAAATAGAAAATGGAAGCAATTATATTGATAATGAAAAATTGGGCAATTTTTCATTCCATGGTGATAACAGAAGTGAAGTCCAGCAAATTTAACATTAACATGAATAAATGTGGTTATTGTTCTGGAGTGAAGAGGATAGGCCAGGGGTAACCAATTAAAAATCAGTGGCGTCTGAAAAAAGAAAAACAACCAGTAAAGGTCCGGAGACATTTTTAATTATACACTGTTAATTTAAACAGAATTTAACATTGAAAGCAAATTTTATTTTTATGTATCCATTTTATACATTGACTTAAAAAAAAATGAATTGAAGTAGAGAACAACAATCGTTCAGTTTGATTCACATATTTTATAAAACACCTGAACTGACTGTTATTTCTTTCTTTTTTCTGTCTTCATGTTGGCAGTGGGCTTTATGCTGCCCTGCAAGGCTTTAACCCTGGGTTTGAATGGAAGGCAATTCCAAATTCTGTTCATGGTGGAGAATCCTGCTTCACAGCAGTAGGTTGAGCCAAACATACTCAAAATGTGCAGGGCCATCTTTGATCACACCATTTCACTTTTCTGTCACCAGTTCACCACAGTTCACCACAACGCCTCACTGGGGGCGAGGAGGCGATACAGGACAGGGGGATAGGGGAAGGAGCAGCAACACTTGTATTTTTTTATTTTTTCTGTTAAATGTCAACTCCATATTTATTTGCATTTGTATTTCACTTAATTTTAATTTCATTTAATACTTTTTTGTTGCTTAATTTTAACTTAATTTAACTTAATACTTTTTTGCCCTGTAAGCTGCTGGTAACCTTAATTTCTGGAGGGATTCTTCCCAAAGGATCAATAAAGTACTGTCTAAGACTAAGTCTCAGTTCTTCCAGCAGTCCACACTTTCTCTGCTCTCTTTTTCCCCATCATCATCTCCTTCTTTCCCATCGCCCGGCTTGCCACAGGTTTGCCTGCTGAGTCTAAAAGTAGCAGCAGCAGCAACCCAGACTGACAGCTGCTCATTGGATCATTTGGATCATGTGCAGCCTGGTGCCGGACGCTCTGGAGGACTTTACCACATTAACAAGAAAAGCAGCACAAGTGAAGTGAACTGTTGTTGGAGAAAATGTGGTAATTTATAAATGTTTTAAATCAGGCTGTGTCCAGATTAGCCAGCAGGTGGGTACGGATCCGGTCCGCCGTCCGCTAATCCGTGACCTCTGGGATAGGCGTTTGAGAACTATCCTGATATTTTACAGAGGAAGGAGTAGAAAGCAGGTAAGAATAGGTCCTGGTCACAAACCTTAGATATACTTATTGTTAATAATGAAAGACCTAAATAAGTAGGATCAAACTAAGCTCTGTTCCAAAGGCCAACCATTTTCATTTATTCCTGGAAAACGATAAAAACTCCCCCAAAAACCAGTTCATCAGTATTCTACAGACGTGTTTAACTGATATAATATTTAACATGATATAAGTTCAGCATGTAGACATTTATATGCTTAATGAAGACTTGCCTTAAAAATAAAAACTATTCTTTGACACATTTCATGTGTTTTGTTATTGAATATAATAAAACACATAAGTATAAAACCAAAGATGTCTACAGATTCTAAAGCTGAAATTCATTACCAGTCAGGCAGTGTGTTCACATCATAAAATCATCCATTGTTTCTGCTGCTCCTCCATACCGCTCAGTGATTTATTTTACTGCCGTGAGAAGCAACTTGCCTTTTGAAAGCGGCTCCAAGGCGCACGGAGCTGCACTCTAAACTTTGCTCTGCTATCTGATGACAGCTCATGTTCTTCTGACTCTTCTTCGTCTCTCTCTGATACTAACTTAATTATATCTGTGGAAATGTGGGATTCTTCTCTGTGTTTTCAGCAGCTGTAGAAGCAGTCAATTAAAGTGGCTCTCTTTTCACATCATTTCTTTGTTTGTTTTTTAGAACAGAATAGAAAATCCCTTTATTGTCCCACAATGGGGAAATTGTGGTGTTACAGTACAGCAGCAAAAGGTTATAGTAGAGGTGGTAGAAAGTGTATAAAAATAATAGATAGGAAAATAAAACAAATAGAGCAGAGGTGAGGGATTAGCGGCCTGCGGTCCGGATCCGAACCCACATTGATTTAAAACATTTAGGTGTTACAGCAGCAAAAGGTTATAGTAGAGGTGGTAGAAAGTGTATAAAAATAATAGATAGGAAAATAAAACAAACAGAGCAGAGGTGAGGGATTAGGGGACTGCGGTCCGGATCCGAACCCACATTGATTTAAAACATTTATAAATTACAGCATGTTGTCTGACTGCAGTGTCTGACTTCACTTGCACTGCTTCTCCTGTTAATACGGTAAAGCCCTCCAGAGCGTCCGGCACCAGGCTCCATTTGATCCAAATGAGCCAATGAGCTGCTGTCAGTCTGGGTTGCTGCTGCTGCTACTTTTAGACACAGCAGGCAAACCTGTGGCAAGCCAGGCGATGGGAAAGAAGGAGAAGATGATGAGAAAAAGAGAGCAGAGAAAGTGTGGACTGCTGGAAGAACTGTGGTGAACTGGTGACAGAAAAGTGAAATGGCGCTCAAAGATGACCCTGCACATTTAGAGGATGTTTGGCTCAACCTGCTGCTGCGAAGCAGGATTCTCCACCCAAATAAATATTGATCCAGGCTCATAATGATCTTTGTCTCCATTCAAACCCAGGTTTAAAGCCTTGCAGGGCAGCATAAAGCCCACTGCTCTCATTAAGAAAGAAAAAAAGAAAGTTCAGGTATTTTATAAAGTATGTGAATCAGGAAAATGTCTATATACCAAACTGAACGATTGTTGTTCTCTACTTCAAAAAACACTAGATTTTAAAATTGAAAAATATTTTTTTTTTATTTTTTTATTCAATGTATAACACGGATGCATAAAAACCTTATTTTATTTCAGTGTTGAATTCTGTGTAAGTAAGTTAAAGTAACAGATTATAATTAAAAATATCTGTGGACCTTTGGTTACCCCTGAAATTTAGTATTTTACTTTAGAGTGCTTTTACAATATGATACACTGTACCTGGATAATGGAAAAAAAAACAATAACAGCTGTGCACATATTTACAGTAAATGATATGTGGAAAAATAACAGCAACACCAGAGATGTGCAAAAAAAAAAAAAAACAGCAGCACGTTATTTAAGTGACTAAGAAAGAAACTCTGCAAAAGTCAGCTCTAATGTAACGACTTATTGAGGTTGTTGGGAACAGTGGTGGTTATAGAGTCTTACAGCTGCTGGGAGGAAGGATCTGTGATAACGCTCCCTGGTGCATTTAGGGTGCAGCAGTCTGTCACTGACAGAGATTTGAATCTAGTTAGGATCCTTTTATTTCCTACCGTCTGCACAGAGTACAGAGGGCATCCATTCACAGAGCTGGCCTTCCTTTATTTATTGGTTATTGTTTCTCCAGGTGCACAAATTTTATATTGTTAAAATACTTTACAGTTCAGTATTTTATTGTTTATTTCGTAACTCCTCACTATTATGTTACTCTTATACATTTTTTCTAAGGTCCATATTTGTGTGGCCATTTTTTCTATAATCTTTTAGCTGCTGTAAACACAAGAATTTCCCCATTGTGGGACAATAAAGGGATTTTCTATTCTATTCCTGATCAGCTTATCCAGCTGCTTTCTCTCAGCTACAGATAATCCACTGCTCCAACAGCGCCATAGAATAAGGCTGATGCCACAATTGAGTCATAGAACCATATTTGTCTACAAAGACTCGTTTCAGCTGGGACAGTATGTTATCACTGCTATTTTTCCATACCTCTATTATAATAAGAAAATGAATGTATAAGAAATTTAAGGTTTGAAATGAAACATGATGTTTGAGATCAGTCACCTTTATCTGGGTGATCAGCAGCATCACCTTGGTCCTTTATAGACACTAAGGTCATTGACTCGTCTTCTGGCTTCGTCTCGGACCGAGAGTCCTCTTCCTCCACCTCCACCCACTGATGACACAGAAAGGTCAACATGCAGCATCATTCTCAATTATTTCATCGATTTCACTGAAACTTCTGTCAAATAAATGTTCTCCAAAAGGCGCAGCTTTAAATTACCTCAGAGCTCTTCTCTTTTGATTTTTCAAAGTCTGCATCTGAAAAAAAGATTCAAAGATTTAAACTTCTGATTGAAAAGGACCAATGTGAACCGTCTGCTGCTGCAGCACAACAAAGAGGGGTTTACAGGACTTCACAGAACTGCTCAGCCATAAAGCAGAAGTTTATTTGAGAAATCCCTACATAACTCATATGTATTCAGTCCATTTGTATCTGGTAGCCACTAATAACCCAGTAAAGCTACTTCCTTTCAAAAATCCTCTGATTAAAGAGTCAAACTTGTATGTTATGTAGGCTAAGTATAAATCCAAGTGGCACCATGAAGACAGCAGGTACCATTAAACAGGAGGTCCATGGTTAGACATCTAAACCTCAGGTTGGACAGTCTGTCAACAAGAATTATTTGCTGTGCTTCCTGTTGGGATGAAGAACCCAGATATCCTGAATGGTCTAGTCAAAGTCCAGCCCTAAATCCCACTGAAAATAGAGACAGCAAAACATTTGACTGTAAACATAGATAAATGCACCTCTTCCAGAGATTTACCGACAAATCCTTTTCAGAGCCATGCATTGTTTCCATTAACTAAAGCACAAAAGCTACTTTAAAATTCAGATTTGAAACTAAGTGAAAATGTTCAAAGATATAAATACACTCGACTTTCCAGCTGCTCAACAATTCAACCAACAACAGCTGCTTCATCTCCACACAACAACATTAAGGATACATCTTCAGGTATATTCAACACAACTCACAATGGTGCCACAAGGTAATGCAGGGATAACACCTGGTCCCCATAAAGAAACAGAATAATGATCTTTTTTGGCAGATTCAGCAGTCGGGGATTATTTAAACAACTAGCACTTAAGTATGAAGTCCTCTTTAAGAAGTTAAACAATCCTCTCAAACGGCTCTAAACCTGCAAGAACTTCTGCCTCAAGGTTTGCTGATAAAAACAAATACCAAGAGGTAAAACAACAGGCCTATGTCTCTCTGTCTGTTTTTTGTTCTCGTTTTCCTCCCATAAAAATCAACCATCTGTATTTTACCAGCTGCAGACAGAATGAAGCCAAAGACAGAAAAAAAATGTAAAATGTTCCTTCAGTGTCTGCAGTAAACTGCTGTCTAACTGCTTAAAGAGGTCAGTCTGACAGAATAAACCTGCAAACATGGAATCTGTTGGAAACACTGACTGTTAATGTTACATTATCTTCATTGAGCTTGTTTTAAGTTTAAACAAAACGTACATTTTTCCCAGTTTCTTTCCACAAATGGAGGCCAGTGTTTCAGTTTAATTAGCCTACATATCCAAGTAGTAATTCCTTATAAAAACACTCATAAACATGACCTTTTAATCAAACTTCTACTAACATAAAATTGTGTTTTATTTAGAACTGCAAGAAAGCAGAGGCTAAAAGTTGCGGTCTCTACTTGTGCACAGCCAAATAAACTCCAGTAAATCCAAATACCTTCCTCTAAAATTCCTCTAATTAGTAAACCATATGTGTGAATGTATCCAAGAATGGCCTAGTCGAAGTCCAGGACTAATGGAAAGATTTGGAAATATGTTGTCAAAACTTTTAAACAAAACTATTTAAAATAAATTCAAAAGAATAGTAAATGTAGATGGATGTAGATGTGTAAACCCTGAATAATGACGGCTCATAATAAATGTTTTGAACCTTCAGAGGGTTTAAAAAGTCCTGCAGAGACTGAAATATGGAGTGATTTTTCCGCCATCCATCCAGATTTCTCCATAGAGGCTATCATTTGATCCTTCACGCTCTCCGTAGTTCTCCTGTGGCACGAGCACAGGGCGGCTGTTACGCGCCTTTAGCGAGCATGCGCGTTTCCTGTCGCTTGCGCGGTGAATCGTGCCGCCTGCGCTGTGCGGAGATGCAGGGGAAACCGTATCTGATGGGGAAACGCAGCTCGACGTGGCGCCTCCTGCTGTCGGTTAGTCAGAATGACAATTCTCCACGAATCGCGTGACTTCTGGCAGAAACTTACCGCGGATTGTGAAGAATTGTCTCGTACGCGAGCAGAGATCGTTTTGTACTCTGGGACAATTTACAAATTATATTTTCAGTGCAATGTTAGAGTCCAGTTTGTAAAACTAATTTTTGTGTGTGTGAGACATTTAAGGACAGTTTGGGAAAAAAGTTTTATGTGTGTGACATTAGAGGAGAGTTTGCAATACAAGTTTTATTTGTGATCAATAAGATTTATTTGAGTGCAACATGTTTATTTGTGAGTGATAAGAGTTGTTTGTGTGAAACATACTTTATGCATTTGCAACATGCTTAATGTGTGTGCGCAACATGCATTTTTTGTACACAACATTTTGGCAGAAAAAAAAAATTCATACTGAAATGTCCCACTGAAGCTCTGGGACTCAAGACTGATTGGTATTGTGAAAACTTCCAGAAAATATGTCATGTTTAATAGAAATATGTGAACTCAAACAACTAAAATTGGTCAGTTATACCTGCAGGGGGCGGGGCCTCCCTTTCTGCCATCTCATTGGAGCGTTCCTCAGCCGTCAGGTCAAAGGAGACAAACTCAGTGGAAGGGGATCTCTGCAGAAGGTTTTAACATGTCAGTAGGTAGCTGCTGTAGCATCAGACCTATGAGTTGTTCCAGTCGTACCTCTGCAGCCGTGTCCTCCTCTTCCTTCTCCTCCTCTTCCTCCTCCTCCTCCTCCTGGAGCTTGGCTGCATTTGACTCCTGAGAGGAGCAAACTGTGGCTTCTTGAACAGCATTGATTTGTTCAGATGCAGACGGTTCCTTTAGGACCTTAGGGGAGTTAATGACAACCTGTGGTTCCTGGAAGCAAAATAAAAACTAAATATTAATTTAAAAAAATTTAAAAACAACTTTGCTTCGCTTAAAGCTCTAAAGCCATTTATCAAACGAGGTAAAAATTTTCTTTCCAATGAAAAAAAAAAACTTACAGGATTTTTACAATGTTTCTACTTTGTGTTTACCCTGTAAATATGAATTTATTGTATATTTTATTTACATTAGTTGAACTTAAAACAGGAAACTGTAAAAACAAGTAGTGATTAAATGGTGAGGACATGCTGAAGGACTAAATATTTTTGTTTCTGAATTGTCTGTGGAAGCTTTCCTAAACTCTGTTATATGTTTTTTTTTTTTATTCTTTTATTCATTTTTATTGATAGAGGAAAAGCGGGTCGGGAAGCTGTGAAATACTGAAGTCTGTGTTTGTGTGGGTTAAAACCAAGCAGGTCGGGTTTCATTGGTTTATGGATGTCATTTTTTAAATGCTCAGCGTGTTAAAACCAAAATGCACCCAGTCTGAGGTAAATTATAGGCTCCTCCTAAAGGCTAAGCAGCACCTCCTCCTGTGTTATGGTCCACAGAATTGGTTGCAGATGTGTGGAGGGTTTAGCTGGGAGATCTGGAGGGTTTAGTTTCTTAGAATGGGAGGTGCTGAGATGAATCTGTTTCAAAGCAGCAGCTCCCAACTGTCCCTTCACAGAATGCAAGAAACATATCCTGAGGGGTGAAATGTAGAGAATCTTATTTCCCTTTAAAAACACTAACCTGCTCCTCCTCATCACCACCATGTTGATCCTCCTCTTCCTCCTGCTCGCACACAGAGTCAGAAACCTCAACCTGATCAGAGACCTGTGGCTCAGTCTTAGACTGAGAGGAATCAACCGGGTCAGACGCGCCCTGAGTGGGTTCAGATGTTCCCTCAGCGTCTGAGGAGGTAGAGATGAAGCGTTTCTCCTCATTAGACGCCTCAGCTGATGCTTTAGCTGGAACCGGCTGTGAAACGGGAACAATTTGGAACAAATGTGTTTAAACTGGACAAAATAAAGACAGGAAGAAGCGAGTCCATCCATAGAGGACCGCAGCAGATGTGATGCAGAGTATTTCCTGCAGCTCCACAGCTGTGTGACAGTTTTCTTATGCAACAACAGAGTTTTAAGTCAGAGATTTGAAAAATAAATAGAGGGATTTCATTGCATTTATTCTCAGTTAATAAGCTAAACTCTCAGTTTAGTTATGCAGCACAAATAGTTACCCAATTACTCCAATCTGTAGGAGAACAGGGACCTGAGCTTTTCAGGTTCAGAATGAAGAACACAAAAAAAATATGGTGAACAGAAGCTGCTTAACCCCAAACATCACCTCGGCCCAAACACAGGAAAGGAAATAAGCTACGACTAAACAGCACTGAGAGTGGGATGTAATCAGAGTCAGAATAAATTGCTTTTATGCAGATGAGTGTGAGAGGGGAGCTTGGGGACCATCTTCAAACGAAATCTAAAGTGACAAACATGTTTGTGTTGCAACTAATGCATCAATTTTACAAAGGTATGTCCTTGCTCTAATACCAAAACAAGAGCAAACACACAGAACTCAGTAACATCCCTAACTGCATCTGTGAGGTCGAACACTGATGTTGGACAGCAAGCCTTGGCTCTCATTCTCAACTCAAATTTAACCCAAAGAGTTTCTATCAGGACCGGACCGGTCATGCATCTTTCTTTGTGCGCATATGTTGAGACAGGAAGGGGAAATCTGTTTGCTCAAAGTTGATAGCATCACTTTGTTCAAAGAACTGTGTTCTGATGTATTAGGTTTGTTTCCCAGGGACTAAGGGATCCAAACCTTCAGCCATGATGTTCCAAGGTCTGCAGCTACTGGCAACTGAATCCATTAATTAAAAAAGGTAAGCAATATACTTCTAAGAAATAAAACCTACATAAAAACGTAAAGCTTTGTTTTGAACATTTTAAGTAGAGTATAAGCTGCCTTCTTCAACATCAAAAGCTGTAAAGGCCAGATGACACAAACCAAACGCTGCGGAAGAACTACAGTCTCCATTTCTCTCCACTGGACAAAATGAAAAATAGTTTTTTTGAGGATAAACTACAGTAGCCCAGAGGTGTCAGCTCAAAAAAAAAAGCCACAACACAAAAATAAAGTCCAACGCTCTGCAGATGCAGGTGGAGTTTCGGGGCCAGACATCATTCGTGATAAATTTTTTTGAAAGTGAAGGGATCTGTATGATCACCAAACATCCTTCTTTTCCAAAATCAACAACTTTGCTTTCTGTAGTGATCGACTGTTTCTCTGTAGCACAGCGGCGCTTTCATTGATAAACTCAATCAGCTGATTTTACTCACGGCCCGCTGGCTGCTTTCTGTGTTCGTCTGTGAGTGATTGGCTGGATCCCCCAATTTTTGCGCTTTTGTTCAAGTCATCAGTGAAGTTGTTCTACTTGTTACGGCTACTCTGGTATCCTAATATGTTCGCATATAAAATCAAAGAAATGCCAGAGTTGTTTTTAGGAGGAGCTTTTCTAGTCACTCAAAAATAAAAAGCACTCAAGGAGAGTTTTCTGGTTTCAGAAGGTGTTTTCTTTACTAATAAAAATAACAGAAATAATCTCAAAGTTGACTTACAAAAAAATGTAAATGTTAATTGTTGGTAGAAAAACTGTTTCGCTCCTTCACCAAACAATCAGATCAACCACAGCAGCTGACTCTGCTTGTTAATCACAGCAGGAGGCCGACTGACAAGGAGCAGGGTCAAATAAGATAAATAACAATAGATTTACCATTCACATAACCTTAGATCTGTTACAATAACTATTTAGCAATAAAGAAATGTATCAAATTCTTTAGAGGCTCTAAGAGCACGTCACGTTCTTTTTGGTAATTTCACAATACGCAAAGTCCGATTCATTCACGCCCCCAGATATACATCCGCGCTAAAATATAATCCCAACTGTGGAAATAGATTGAAGGTGAAATGTTGCTACTGCTCGTATAAAACTGGTCTGTATTGCATGTGCTCCAGTTCTGCTTTTATCCACTAGGTTTCTACAAGTATACTACATAATTCAAATAAGAAACTCAACCCTTTTCTAAATACATGCATGCAACCTTTTCTTTGTTTTTTGTTTTTCACAGCTATTTCTCCATCATTGTGTAATCTTATTTTTTTATTCTCCAAGCCATGGTCGACTTTAATTCAGCCATCTGGAGGCAGCAAAAGAATCAACAACAATCTGCTTTTTATTGTCTTGCGGCCTGAATGTCTTGGTTCCGTTACAGATACATATAAACAGCGAGAGGAAATCTGGAAGAGATAAAGCTTCTTTGTTTTGCACATAAAATCCTTGGTTTTTCGGAGCTTTCCACAAAACAATTCCTTCCCCGCCTGAAACACAGTAGTTTGGTATAAGAGTGAAGGGACCAATAAATGCCCCGACACAGCAGCTACTGTCCATCTACCTCCACATTATTACAGTGGCTGAACAACAGCTATGTGTCTGTTTTCACTGCAGCTTCCTGCTGCAACAATGTCCTCAACTTTCCATAAAATCCTGACTTCTTATTTCTGTCTCATTGCTGAATAGAAGCCATTTTGTTCAGATGATAATATAAGTCTATGAAGATTTGTCATTTAGAAAATCCTTCCAGCACAGCTTTGCGCTCTCTATCTTTATTTTAATCGAACTCTGTGTACGATTCTGATCTTAACATCACACAGCCATAACTTATATAATAACAAATAAATAAACTGCCTGAGGTCATCCATCTGCTGATGCCTGTCACCCATTTAAAAATAAGCTTTAATGAATAAGAGTAAACTTAACTTTTGCTTTTCCAAAGTGTTTTATTTTATTTATTTTTATTTTTTTTTTTGACGTTTTCACAGTATCAAGACATATATACACACAAACATATATGGGAAGCATGCCAATATTCACAAGACAAGGTTTTAAGTACAAAATCTGAGCGTAAGGGTTTTATGTACTCAGTCCATTTAGTCCAGATTTTGTAAAACATGTTCTTTTACATCCTGAGGGAAAAGACAACTTTTCCATGACATATATTGTGTATATTATATTGATCCAATCCTCAATAGTTGGAGATCCCACTCTTAGCCACTTTCTTCTACAGCAGCCATAAAATTGGCCAGAACTAGTTCTAAAGGGACATTGACCCCAGATGGCCTCTGTCTAGAACCGCCCCTGGGTCGACCTTTTCTCAATGGCAATTAAATAAACAATCGCTGGTGTTGGAAGAACTTATCAGAGATTTGAGAGTTCAAGAGGTTGAAAGTCTTTTAAAGCATAATGGTTGTTGCTGCTTTCGCCAGATATCAGCTGTAGAAGAATGTTTCCCAGCAGCTTTTTCAGGCTTTGTTTTCAATAGCAGGAGAATTAAATAAAGCCAGATTCAGGCGAAGGGAAAAGCTGGCTTTCATCAAAGAAAAGAAAGTGGCCAAGTTTTGAAAAGGTTTGTTCTTCTACCATGTTTATCTAATAGATACTTCAGGCTCACTTCAAGAAAATCGAGTCACGCTTACCTCTGCATCAGTGTTTGTTTTCTCCTTTGCTTCTTCCACTTCACCATCACAGGACTCTGTTTCACCACAGTCTAATTTCCCAGTTGGGGTTTTATCAGCAGCATCCAGGTGCTTTTCAGAAACGCTCTCCGGTTCTGCATCAGCAGTGGACGACGCCACAACCTCCATCTTTGACTCTGTAACAATCAATGCATCTAAGCACTAAAATATAATTGCATTCCAGTAATTAAAGATAAACAGGCTCACCCATCAGAGGCTTGTCCAATGCAACGTTGTTCAGTTTGACATCTGCAGCCTCTTCCTTTTCTTGTTTGATCAGATTCATCTTCAAGTTTTCAGAGTTATTTTCTGCTTCCTGTCTGGCTTGCTGAGCCAGAGAGCACAGCCTGCAGAGTAAATACGACATTTTAATTAAGCCTACTAATAAAAAGTGCATCATGTTATAGTGAGGAATAATTGCATTCGAACAATATTTAACAGAAATTCAAATTTCATCTCAAGAATGTAAAAATGAACATAATTATTACAAAATAAAACTTTTTTTTCTGTAGTGTTGCTCATATTTTATTTTTTTTTTTTACATTATATGGATATTTATTTTGCTTCTCGTCTTCATGCAAACAAACGGTGTATTCACAGTTAACATTTCTCCAAAGGAAGACGGATGTCATGGTTCAGTCGTGCATCTGCTGATGGTTTAATCCTCATCAGGATGGCAGGGATTTAAAACCAGTCCCAGAATGCAGCGGGGGACGGACCGGATTTGGCAGCGACTCAGTCCAACACTGTGCTGCTTGCATCCCACCAGGTCACAGTATAACCCTGAGCATCGATCCACAGTCTAAACCGTCTCTACATTAACTATACTAAGCTGGTATGTTTGAATGATGATCTGTTTAAATGAAGCTTCACTGGTGATAAATCTTGTTTGTTTGACTTTAAATGGTGCATGTTTGTAGGGAAACTGCATCTGGAAGTAGAGCATGTGGGTTGCATCCGTTAAAGCCTTGCCAAATCCTCTCTGCCATTGCAGGGTGGGGCTCCACCCCCCCAGAGAGAGATATTGAGGGACGGTTGCTGCTGTCCATCTTCCTATTGGCACAAAGACATGAACACATCTCATCCACCCTTGCCTCAAATTTATCTTTAGCCTATAAAAGTTAAAATGGTTCAGCTTCTCACCGTTTACCACGGAAATGTCATGAAAGCTGTGCAAAACTAAAGTTTATTTTGTATACACTCTGTGTACAAAACAAAAATAAAAGTTGTCCAAGTCTTTACCTCTCAGATCCAGAGCCCCCAGAATATTCATTTAGTTTCTTTTAAAAAGCATCTTTAAATAGCTCTACCATTTGACCTGCCCCTTTATTGACTTAGTTCTATTTTTAGGATTTTATTAGTGTTTCGTTGCTCTGGTCGGAAATCAAACCCAGTCTGAGAAATGGTTCCTCACCATGTTTCTGATGGAAGTAATGC